TTCCTCCTCCTCCTCCTCCTCCTCCTCCTCCTCCGCCTCATCCTTCTCCGCCTCCTCCTCCCCCTCCTCCTTCTCCGCCCCCCATCCTCCTCCTCCTATCCTCCTCCTCCTCCTCCTCTCCTCCTCCTCCTCGTCCTCTTTCTCCTCCCTCCTCCTCCCCTCCTCCTCCTCCTCTCCTCTTTCCTCCTCCTCCTCCTCTCTCATCCTCTTCCGCCTCCTCCTCCTCCTCCTTATCTTTTATTATTCTTCTTGTTCTTCTTCTTCTTCTTCTTCTTCTTCCTCTCCTCCTCATCCTCCTCATCCTCCTCCTCCTCCTCTCCTCCTCCTCCTCCTCCTCCTCCTCCTCCTCCTCCTCCTCCTCCGTCTCCGTCTCCTCGTCCTTCTCCTGCTGCTCCTCCTCCTCCTCCTCATCACCATCGTCATCATCAGCAGCATCAGCATCAGCATCAGCAGCATGAGCATCTTCATCATCAGCATCATCAGCATCACCATCATCACCACCATCAGCATCATCCTCATCATCAGCATCAGCAGCATCATCAGCCTCACCATCAGCATCATCATAATCATCAGCAGTAGCAGCATCATCACCATCATCATCATCAGCAGCAACATCATCATCATTATGATCAGCACCCTCATCATCATCATCATCAGCATCAGCATCATCATCAGCAGCATCATCAGCATCAGCATCAGCATCAGCATCAGCATCAGCATCATCATCATCATCATCATCATCATCATCATCATCATCATCATCTCATCATCATTATCATCATCATCAGCATCACCATCAGCATCATGATCATCAACATCATCATCGACCTCATCCGCATCAGCATCATCAGCATCAGCAGCATCATCATCATCAGCAGCATCATCAGCAGCGTCATCATCATCAGCAACATCATCATCATCATCAGCAGCATCATCATCATCAGTATCATCATCATCAGCATGATCATTATCATCATCACCATCATCATCATCCTCTGCCTTCTCTTCCTGCCACCACCCCTCCTCCTCCTCCTCCTCCTCCTCCTCCTCCTCCTCCTCCTCCTCCTCCTCCTCCTCCTCCCTCCTCCCTCCTCATCCTCCTCCTCCTCCTCCACCATCCTCCCTCTTCATCCCTCCTCCTCAATCGTCCTCCCTCCTCCCTCCTCATCCTCCTCCTCCTCCACCATCCTCCCTCTTCATCCCTCCTCCTCAATCATCCTCCCTCCTCCTCCTCGTCCTCCCTCATCCTCATCCTCCTCCTTTCATTATGTCCCTCCTCCTCCTCCTCCTCCTCCTTCTCCTCCTACGCCTCATCCTCCTCGTCGTCTTCCTCCTCCTCTCCTCCCCCTCCTCTTCCTCCTCCTCCTCCTCCTCATCCTCCACCTCCTCCTCCTGCCCCTCCTCCTCCCCCTCCTCCTCCTCCTCCTCCTCCTCCTCCTCCTCCTTCTCCTCCACTTCCTCCTCCTCCTCCTCCTCCTCCTCCTCCTCCTCCTCCTCATCCTCCGTCGCCTCCCTCCTCCTGCTCCTCCTCCTTCTCCTCACCTTCCTCAGCATCCTCCTCCTCCTCATCATCATAATCATCATCAACATCATTATCATCCTCATCCTCATCCTCATCCTCATCCTCATCATCATCATCATCATCATCAGCAGCATCATCATCATCATCATCATCATCATCATCATCATCATCATCATCATCATCATCATCATCAGCAGCAGCAGCAGCAGCAGCAGCAGCAGCAGCATCATCATCATCATCACCATCATCATCATCATCATCATCATCATCATCATCATCATCATTATCACCATCATTATCATCATCATCATCATCATCATCATCATCATCATCAGCATCAGCATCAGCATCAGCATCATCATCACCACCATCATCAGCAGCATCATCATCAGCAGCATCATCATCAGCATCAGCGGCAGCCGCACCATCATCATCATCATCATCATCATCATCATCATCATCATCATCATCATCATCATCATCATCATCATCATCATCATCATCATCATTATCATGGCCCTCATTGGGCCGTCTTGGAGCAGCTGGCGGCACCTCGGCACTCGCGCGGAGCTCATAAGGGGCTCTCGGGGGAGCCTCCAGGCGCCTCCGAAGCCGCCGGGGGGGGGCGCAGAGATGCCATTGAGCCGCAGGGCTTCCTCGCACGCACGTGTTTCTGCAGCGCTTTCTGCCCCCCCTCGTTAATTCAAGCTTCGCGCGGCCCGCTTAGCTTCGACCGGAAGAGGTGCGCTCTCGACCCGCGAATCAAAAAAGTGTCTCTGCAGCGCAGGGGAGATGACACTGGGCTCCAGCTTCGCCTCCCACACCTCGCAGAGCAGCGCCAGCGCCCGCCGCCACTGCCCGCCCTTCTCGCACGCGCTGATCCCTGCGTTGCAGCTGATGACGTCGGGCTTCAGCTTCGCCGCCCACATCTCGCTGAGCAGCGCCAAAGCCCGCCACCACTGCTCGCCCTTCTCGCACGCGCTGATCCCAGCGTTGTAGCTAATGAGCCAGGGCTGAACCGCGAACTCAAGTCCACTCAAGCTTGCTCGCATGCGAGGGTGAGGATCAGTGAGGACAGCTTGACTGTTGACCGATTGCGTGCTGCCGTGATTGCGTGGCTACTAGCATTATGCTTTGCCACGATTGGCACCTTCCACGCGCTGCTTCAGGTATTGTAAGATAGACTACTATACACGCACGAGCAAGTACGCAGGTACCCTGGCAGGGGAACGAGACGAAGCCATCTCTAGCTTGGGCAGTCGTGGAGCTTTCCGTTCCGTAGGCTGTCTTGCAGCTCTCTTGGGCCGTCTTGCAGCCTTGCGAGAGGTTCTGGAAGCGACCTGAAAAATTGGCCCAAGGAGGGCTCAAGTGGGCCCGAAGACGGCCCCAAGAGGGCCCTCAGAAATCACCCGACGGATGCTACAACAGGGGGGTGGCGATGTAGCATCCGTAGGGGGGCTTCTTCGGGCTCTCTGGGAGCGCTCTTTGCACCTAAGGCTCTGATGGGCCATCTCTGGGTGTCTTGAGCGCATCTTGGACCGTCTTTGGGCTCTCTTGGACCGCATTGGGCCTTCTTGAGGCCCTCTCGAGCCGCATTGGGATTATCTTGGCTCTTGGGCTGGCTTGGGGCGATCGTCGGGGGTATTGGGCCACCGTGGACGCTGCAAGTGCTCCAAAGTCGAAGATGCTGAAAATCTTCAGATACCTATAGAAACCTTCCATCTCTGCACCGTGCAAGTCCGCAGGTGCCCTGGCAGAGGAACGCGGCGGGGCCACTTCTGGGCCATCTTGGGTCGTCTTGGGCGCCTCTTGGACAATCTTGGGTCTCTCGTGTGCCGTCTTGGGCTGTCTTGGGAACCTCTCAAGCCGCCTTGGGATTTTCTTTAGAGGCGTTTCGGGCCGGCTTGCCGCTTGGGCCGGCTGATGCGATCGTGGGGGCTGTTGGGCCGTCGTGGACGCTGCAAGAGCTCGAAATTCGATGCTGAAAGTGCATTCCAAACAAACCCCGGACAGCTCGCCCCTTGGCCCCCCGCCAGTCCCACGCCAAGGCACGAGCATATATGGGGGCGCAGCACCTTGCTGCATGCGTAGCCTTCGGCAGGGCCAGGCAGGGCAAGACCCAACACTGCATCGCGTGGCGCGTGGATGCCCGCACCGACCACGACTCCTCTCAGGCCCCACCTCCGACCCCCCCTTTTGCCACCACCTCTTCGTCCACGTCCTCCGTCCTCCATCCCACCCATCCCCCCTCCGTCGTCCAACTCCTCCAGCTCCTCGTCCGACGCCTTCTCCCTCTTCCTCGTCTTCCTCCTCCCCCTCCCCACCAGTCTCCCTCTCCCCCCTCGCGACTTCGGTATCTTCATTCCCCCACCGCCCCTTTCTCCTCCTCCTCCTCCCTCCTCCTCCTCCTCCTCTCCTCCTCCTCCTCCTCCTCCTCCTATTCCTCCTCATATTCCTCCTCCTCCTCCTCCTCCTCCTCCTCCTCCGAAACTTGGACAAACACTAATTTGTCTATGGCTTCTTTCATGATGCTCGGACACTCGCTCATTCAGGCTTCCAAGCGTCCGAAATCGTTGGAAAAAAACCTAAACCGCTCCAAGACAAGCCAGACGGGCTTCCTGACAGCCCAAGATCGCCCCATGAGGGCCCAAGACGGCCCCAAAACTGCCCACGGGCGGCCTCACCACGGCCCCAAATTGTCTTCAAGAAAACTTCCCAAAAAATGCAACACGTGATCTGGAACCTCCCAGTATGGTGGCTCGAGGACCTCCCCACTGGTCGCCGAAAGGCGCCACGGCCGCCTCCAAAGGCTCCCGAGGAGCCCTAACAATGTGTCCGCGAAACTCTCCAGAGATTCGCCACGAAGGAGCTTCCGCGAACGAATCAGAAGAGGACGAAGAAGCTTTCGTGTGCCAATTCACTCGAGAATGAGGAAAAGAAAATGGACGAAGACACAAATAAGGAAAGGAACACAATAAACGATGCAACCACGGTGAGGGAGACATCGGCCACCAGAAACGATTTCTGACTTGATCGGCTTACCTCTCTCAGTCTGCCTGCGCCGTCCACTTATCGGACCAAAGTGCATGGCGCGAAGAGCCAATGCAGTCGGTGTATATGTGTGTATATATACATATCTATACATATATATATATATATCGGTGTAAATATATATATATATAGAGAGAGAGAGAGAGAGATTCATCGCGGCTTTCCTGGGGGTCCCCTCGGAGCTCCATGGAGGCGTGTTGGGTCCCTCCGAGGCTGCCTTGGGGCGCTCTTGGGCTCTCGGAGGGCTCCCTGGGAGCCATCGCAGGGCTCTCCCGGGGCCCTCTCCGGCCGTCCTGGGGCGCTCCCGGGCCAGGGCGGGCATCGCTCCACGAGCGGGGACGCGGAGGCGCCGCCGCCACGGGCCCGGCGGGCGCAGTCCACGCCCCCCTCTGACCCGCGCAGTGCCCAGCGTTGTGGGCAAGACTGGGGCCGGCTGGCCCGCGGTCTGCCGCCCACGAGACTGCAGGGGCATGCGAGGGCGAGGATTTTCGCGCGCACGCGGCACGGATGACCTTCTGGGAGTGCAGCGTTGATCGCGGCACGACGGGCGCGAAGATAGCGAAACGCTGTTCTGACGAAGCCATCACATCAGCTTGACGTTAGCTCGCGCGCGTGCCGCTCGTATCACGACGAGCCGAAGGAGAGGAGATCGCGATGCAGATCCACAACCCCAATCGCGAGGGGTGAAGGCCAATGCCGCACATGAGGAGCCAACCGGATGCTGGATGGTAGAAAGCACTGGCCACGAAGCAAAGACAGCGAAACGTGGCGCAATGAGACGTCAGAGGCGACAGCCCGGCCCTGTTCGCGACACCGCACTGTGGAGGGAGTGCGCTGGGACGCACTCGACACGCTCAGGGCAGCGGCGGAGGCGGAGTGGGCCCGCTTGGGCGGGCCGTCAGTTGGACCTCCCACGTGCCGACACGTGGCGGGGTCCGATCGGACCCAACCAAGACCAGCCATACCTTGGCGGCGAGCGAGGGGGGGGAGTGAGAAGGAGAAGGCCTTCTCAGAAGGCGGCGGGACTCATCGGAAACCCTCGGGTCTTCTGAAAGTTTTTCTGTCTTCGAGGAAGGCTTAGAAACTTCCTCGAGGAAGGCCGGGGGACTTCCGAACCTTCTGAGAGGGCCTTCTCCTTCTCACCTCCCCCCTCGCTCGCCGCCGAAAACTGGCGGAAATGAGAACTTCGCGTACAAAACTGCTCGGCAAATCATACTGTATATGGAGATGCCGCTCAGCTACCAAGTCGTTTCCCCCAGGTCGCTGAGCTGCAATAACACCTGCATGGCACGCTCGCCTCTCTCGCACGCACGCACGCGCCGATCCCAGCTGCACAACTCAGTAGGGTGTACCGCTTCTGAAACCCACCGCAAGAACGCGGCACAATCAACCGTAGGCCGTCCTGGGCTGGTCAGACGAGCAAGCCAATGTGCCCAGGAAGGCGTCGTCCTCCGAGCGAAGCTGCCGAATTGGCGCCACCCAGGCTCATACCGAGATGCATTGCCTGCTCTTCACGCACGCTGATTGCTGGATATTGTGATAAACATCGGTGACTTCAGGCTCCAGCTTCGCCTCTGGCATCTCGCGGAGCAGCGCCAGCGCCCGCTGCCACTGCCCGCCCTTGTCGCACGCGCTGATCCCAGCGCTGTAGCTGACTAGGGCGAACCCGTGGACTTCGTCCACGTCATATTGGGCCGGCCTTAGCTCGAAATGGCCGTCTTGGGTCGGTCTTGGCTCGAATCGGCGAGGTAGACTGTCAAAAACAATAGGAGAATCAATGATTTCGTTTGCCGCGGCCCGTCTGGACGGCCTCTTGGGCCGCCTTGGGGCCATGTTGGGGATGTTGGGCCGTCGCGGAGCTCCCTGCGAGCCCTCTTGGGCAGCTCTTGGGGCCCGTCTTGGGGCTCCTCTCTCGCGCCGTCTTTGGTCTCTCTTGGGCCGTTTTGGGCTCCTCCGGGAGCCGTCTCGGAGCACTCCTGAGCCGTCTTGGAGCCCTTGCCAGAGTCTTGTAAGCCTTGGCACATTCGTGGGAGGCCCAGGAGCCGTCTTGGGCCGCTCTTAGCTCGAAATCGCGAGAACCTGTAAATCAGGTGAGAACTGTAGAAGACTAAATGTTTTTTGGCCGCTGCGAGCCGTCTGGACGGCCTCTTGGGCCGCCTTGGGGCCATGTTGGGGCTCTTGGGCTGTCTCGGAGCTCTCCGTGAGCTCTCTTGGGTAGCGCTTGGGGCCCGTCTTGGGGGCTCCTGGGGGGGCTCTCTCGGGCCGTCTCGGGGCTCGCTCGCTTGGGCCGTCTTGGGCTCCTCCAGGAGCCGTCTTGGAGCCCTCCTGAGCCGTCTTGGTGCCCTTGCCAGAGCTCCTGGGCGGTCTTGGAGCTTCGGGGGGGCCCAAGACCCGTCTTGGGCCGTGCTTAGCTCGAAATCGTAGGAACCCGCAAATCAGGCAAAAGCCGCAGCGGAATCAATGATTGTTGGCCTCCGCAAGCCGTCTGGACGGCCTCTGGTGCCGTCTTGGGGCCATGTCGGGGCTATTGGCCCGATCTCGGCGCTCCCTGAAGGCGTCCCGAAGCGTGCTCGAGCCGTCCGGAGGCCCGCCGGGCCGCGCCAGGGCCGCCAGGCGCCAGGGGCCCACCGAGGCCGCGCCAGGGGCCCGCCGAGGTCGATTTTGGACACTTGATCCGTTTCCCTTCCCGCACGCGCTTTCCCCGGCCATGTAGAGGAGACCAGTGTGTGCCCGTGTCCGTGAGGCAAATCTGCGGGTACCCTGCCAGGGGAACGCGGCCGGGCGGACAGGCGGCGACAGCCTACTGGCTGAAAGATGTCGTAGAAGATGTAGCCGAGGAGCCTGGCAGCCCGAAGACGGCCCCAAGAGGGCCCTGAGAAAGCACCCGACGGATGCAACAACATGGGGATGCATTGTGGCATCCGGTGGGGGGCCTCTCTGGGCTCTCTAGGAGCGCTCTTGTGGCCGTCCAGGGATGCACCTGGGGCTCTCGTGGGCCATCTCTGGGCCATATTGGGTCGTCTTGGGCGCCCCTTGGGCCGTTTGGGGGCTCTCTTGGACCGTCTTGGGTCGTCTTTGGCCGTCTTTTGAGGCCCTCTCAAGCCGCTTTAGGATCCTCTTGGGGGGCCTCTCGGGCCGGTTTGTGGCGATTTGGGGGGCTGTTGGGCCGTCGTGGAAGTCGTATATGCCAAAAATGTTGGGAAACCCATGGTAAAATCCTATACTTGTGCACTGGGAGGCCCTGCTGGGAGTACTCCTGGAGCGCCCTGGGGTCCTTTCAAAAGGTTTTGCGGCAGTCTTGAGGCCGTCTTGGGCTATCTTGGGGCTCTCTGAGGCTGGCTGGACGCCATCTTGGGCCATCTTGAAACAATCCTCGGCCGCATTGGAGGCATCTCCGGCGAACTCGGAGGTCTTTTGGACTCGCGTGGGCCGTCTGGGAGGCACATGCCCTCGCGGCGGACCCTCCCGGCGGCCACCCCTGGGTTATGCCACGACCGCCGCACAAAACGCGCTGCGCCCGGTTTTGCAGGAGGGGTGACGTTGGGCTCCAGCTTCGCCTCACACATCTCGCCGAGCAGCGTCAGCGCCCGCTGCCACTGCCCGCCCTTCTCGCACGCGCTGATCCCGGCGCTGTGGCTGACTAGGGCTGACGCGTGGACCCCGTCCACGACACCTTCCTGGAAGGGTGCCCGGAGGAACGGCGGAGATCCTGCCGAAAACCCATACCTAAGCACGGCGGCGGCGGGGGCGGCAGCAGCGAGAGCACGCCTTCGTGTCCGAGCTCTTGCAGCGCTCCAGCAGCTCGGCCCCCGCGCGCGGCTCGTTCGCCCCCTCCTATTGGAGGCAGTTTGCGAGTCTCTCGGGGATGTGCGTCAAAGTCGGCGCCCATCTGAGGCATCTCAGGAGCGCCCGGGGAAGGGCTCGGGAGGCCCTCGGGGAAAGCCACCGGGAGCGCCGGGGAGGCTCGCAAGGACTTCCGGGGAGGGGCCCAAGACAGCTTCAAGAGGGTGTGAAAATCAACAAGATCGTAACAGAAACCGCTGTTGGGTCCGACGTGTTCCGCTATGTTGGGGAGGCCGCTTGTTGGAATTATGTTGAAGGCGAAGCTCTCTCGGGCGTGTCAGGATCGCCGGGCCCCCTCTCTTAGAGACAATCTTGAAGCCTCTTTGAGCCTCTTAGGGGGGTAAGGCCCCTCAGGCCCTGTTGTGGACCTCTTCGGGACCTTTTGGGACCCTCTTGGGCCGTCCGGGCTCCTCTTGGGCCGTCTCAGGGCCACGTTCAGAGAGCCGAAAATCATCTGGATTCTCATGAGGCGCTCTTGGGGGCCTTCTCTGGTTTCCTCCGCCTCCTCCTCCTCCTCCTCCGCCTCCTCCTCCGCCTCCTCCTCCTCCTTCTCCTCCTCTGCCTTCGCCTCCTCCTCCTCCTCCTCGCCCTCCTCCTCCTCCTCCTCCTCCTCCTCCTCCTCCTCCTCCTCCTCCTCCTCCTTACCTCGATCCTGCATGCCCTGGATCTTGGATCGTCAATCGTAGACCCTCGGGGCATCGAAAGCGGCTGTTGGGGCCTCCGTTCTGCCTCTCTGTTGGAGGGAAGTCTGTAACCACTTAAGGCCTCGCGGGGGCCGTGTGGGGGCTTCGTTTCGGCTTCGGGGGGGCCTCCTGGGGCCTTCTTGGGCTCTCATCGGTGCCGTTTGGGCCGTCTCGGAACCGTCCCGGACCGTCTTGAGCGCCTCTTGGGCCGTCTGGGGGCCGTTTTGGACCGTCTTGGGTTGCTATTAAGGCTGTATTGGGTACCTTTTGGGCCGTCTTTGGGCCATCGTGGGCCGTCTTGGCGCCCATTGGGCCGTGTTCGGGCCATCTTGGGCCGTCTGGGGCCGTCTTCGGGGCTGTCTCTAGTGCCTCTTGGGCTGTCTTGGGCGCCTCTTGGGCTGTCTTGGGCGCCTTTGGGGCCGTCCTGGGCCCCTTTCGGGGCCCTGATGGGTGCATCTTAAACCGATCGTGGGAGGCTCTGTGGCCATCGTGGACGCGCCGGGGACGAAAAGCACGATGAAAAAAACGATGGGAATGGGAAGATGTTTGCGTCTCGGGGCTGTCCTGGGGAATCCTCCAGGGCCGTCTTCGGATGTTCCTGGCCTGCCCTGGAGCCCTTGGGGCCGTCGGAACGGTCTCTTGAGCGGCTCGGAACGCCCCTGGGGCCGTCGGGGGGGCCTCTGGAGCGGCTCGGAACCGTCTCAGGGTCGTGGTGGCGCCTTTTGAACGGTTCGGAGCCGTCTGGGGCACCGTTAGGAGCCAGATTAGTTTCGCGCTCTCGCGCCAGTACCCAGTGAGGAGGTTTCCTTCTCCTTGGGAACCGTTTGGGTGCCCCCCGGGGTTTCTTTTCGGTCTTCTGGTGGCCTTTTGAAGTCCCCATTAGACCGTCTTGCGGCCTCCTCGGGGCCTCTTGGGGCCCTTTTGGGCCGTCGTGGGCCGTCCTGGGGCCGTCTTGAGCCGTCTTGGGGCCCTCATGGAGCGCTCCTGAGGCGTCTCGGGGCGATACTGGGGGCGTGAATTGTCCTCTTGGACGCTTTGAAAACGAAAAGCACGGGAATTGCGAAAATGTACGCTTTCCATAGGGATTGGGACGATTTGTTTGCGCGGGCTCTCTTGGGACTCTTCTTGGAGCCCACTTGGAACGTTTTGGGAGCCTCTTGGGCCGTTTCGTGGCTATCTTGGGCGTCTGCAAACGCTCCTGGGCCGTCTCGGAGGCCCTCTTGAGCCGTCTTGGGCCGCCCTTGGGGGGGCCGGGGGTCGTCTCGGAGCGCTCTTGGGCGTCTTGGAAGCGCCAGGGCCTGCTGGAGCTCACAGGGGCCCAAAGGGGTCGCCAGGGCGCTGGAACCCCTCGCCCCGACCCCCGCCCGTCTCGAACGCGCGTGCGCCTGCAATGTAGTACAAATGACGTTGGGCTCCAGCTTCGCCTCCCACATCTCGCTCAACAGCGCCAGCGCCCGCTGCCACTGCTTGCCCTTCTCGCACGCGCTGATCCCAGCGTTGTAGCTGACTAGGGCTGACCCGTGGACTCCGTCCACGACATCTTTCTGGAATGGTTATCGGAGGAACGGCGCAGATTGTACCGAAAATGTACAAACACGGCGGCGGCTCGGGCGGCGGCAGCGAGACCGCGCCTTCGTGTCCGAGCTCTTGCAGAACTGCAGCAGCTTGGCCCAGCGCACTGCTCGTTCACCCCCCTCCTATTGAGGACAGTTTCGAAGTCTCTCGGGGATGTGAGTCGAAGTCGAAGCCCATCTGAGGCGTCTCAGGAGCGCTCGGGGAAGGGATCGGGAGGCCATCGGGGAAAGCCACCGAAAGCGCTGGGGAGGCTCGCAAGGATCTACAGGGAGGGCCCAAGAGAGCTTCAAGAAAATTTGAAACCCAGTGAACTCTTAAGAGAAACCGCTGTTGGGTCGGCCATCACCTCCGGGCGCGCCTTGATGGTGCGATCCAGTCGCATCACCGCCAACGGGAGGGTTTGTTCGCCATGTCCCATTCTGTTCGCCCAGAGGGTCTGTGGAGGCCTTCGGGCGAACAGAACGGGACAGGGCAAGGAATGGGGAAGACATGTCCGAATCTCCTGGGCCCCCCAGATGCTCGTCCGAAGAATGCGGAGAGGTCCCAGGGTCATATCAATTGGCTGCTGTCCCAGGGGTCCGGTCTGCTTGGCCCGAAGAGTTTGCCAAGGCCCCTGGGGGAACAGAATGGCACAGCATATCGGGCAAAGGGGGGCGGTAGCTGGCCTGTCAGACCCGGCGTTCGTCTTCTGCCCAAGCGGCGCGGGGCCCACGGGCCCCAGGGTTGGCGTCCCGCTGGGATTCCTCTTGTTCGCCCACAGGGTTGGAGGAGGCCTCCAGGCGAACAGAATGGGGCAGGACAATGAATGTGGGAGACTTGTCGCAAGCTCCCAGCCCCCCCAAGTGTGCGCCCGAAGGGTGTGGGGCCGCGTTGGCTCCCTCAAAGGGCCGTCTTGGAGCCGTCTAGGCCCGTCTTGAGGGCGCCGTTTGCCCTGATGGGGCCGTCTTGGTTCGTCGTGGGCCCCTCATGGGCGCGTCCGTAGGCCGTCCTGGGCCCATCGGGGTCCTCGTGGGGCTGTCTTGGAGCCGTCTGGGACCGTGAGGAGGCCGCCTTGGAGTCGTCTTGGGCCCCTCCTGTGCGCCTCCTTGGGCCGTCCTGGGCCCAGCAGGGGCCGTGTTGGCACCCTCTTGGGGCTGTCTTGGAGCCGTCTTGAGCCGTCGCAGCGCGCCTTGGGTTGTGCTGGGTCCGTCTTGGCCCGTCTTGGGGCCTTCCTGGGCGGTTCCTCGGACCCTCCTGGGACTTTCTGGGGCCTCTTGGTGCATCGGACCGCCGAAACGGCGGGAAACGCAAAGGGTGTAACAGTAAACAATGGAAAATTAACGATTTTTGCCAGCTGGGACTCTCTTGCCATCTTGGCCCGTCTTGAGGCCCCGAACGGGCGCGTCCTTGGGCCGTCCTGGGCGCACCCTCCTGGGACCGTCTTGGAATCGTCTTGGGCCGTCTTGAGCGCGCCTTGGGCCGTCCTGGGCCGGTTTGGGGCCGTGTTGGCACCCTCGCGGCGAGGAAGCTCGGAGGTGGGCTCGAGGCCTCTTCGGGGCCATTTTGGAAGCTGTTGGGGCCTCTGTAGGGGCCTCGTTTGGGCTCCTTGGGAGCCTCCTGGGGCCTCTTCGGGGGATTCTTGGCGGCCCCTTGGGGCCTCTTGGGGGCCTGTTTGGGCCTCCTGGCGCCCTCTTGGGGCGGAAGGCTCGGATTTTCGGTCCGTGGTCCCCCTCTTGGCCCCCTCTTGGGCCTGTCTTCGGGCCCTCGTGGGCCGTCTTGAGCGTCTCTTGGGTCGTCTTGGGGCCCTCTTGGGCTGTCTTGGGGCGCTCTTGGAAACCTCTTGGGCCGTTCTGGGGCGCTCTTGGAGGCCTCTTGGGCCGTCTTCGAGCGTCGGAAAGCGGAAAAGGCGAGAAGGCCAAAATCCTTCCAAAACCGTCGTAAAGCGGACGATTTTGAGGCCCAAAACCGTCCAAAACCTCCTGAGGCGGTCCCCTCGTCCGCCCCCCTCGCTTCGAAGCAGTTTTTAAGCCCCGTGGCACCTCTTGGGGATCTCTTTTGGGCTCCTGGGGGCCTCTTGGGCCTCCACTGGATTCGCTGCCCTCGGTCGGCAATCGTCGATCCTACGACGACTCTCCCCAACGGAGAAACATCGAAGGCCCTCGGAGCGTCCAACATTGTTCTTTTGTGCCTTCGATATGCCGGTCGCCTCTCGTCCGCTCCCCCCCTCCTGGAAGCAATTCTGAGGCCACTTAGGGCTTCGTGGGGGCCGTTTGGGGATCTCTTGGGGCGTTTTTGCCTGCGATATGCCTGTCGCCTCTCGTCCGCTCCCCCGCTCCTGGAGGGAATTCTGAAGGCACTGAAGGCTTCGTGGGGGCCGTTTCGGAGCCTCTTCGGCCTTCGTTTGGGCCTCCCGGGGGGGCTCTTAGGGCCCTCTCGGGCCGTCTTGGGTGCCTCTTGGGCCGTCTTGGGGCCGTCTGAGACCCGCCTCGGCGCCTCTTGGGCTGTCGTGGGCCGTCTTGGGCCGCTCCTGGGGTCGTCTTGGGTGCCTCTTGGGCCGTCTTGGGCGCCTCCTGGGCCGTCCTGGGGCCGTCCTGGGGCGTCTTGGGACCGTCTGGGGGCCCTCCTGGCCCGTCTTGGGGCTCTCTTGGGGTCCTCTTCGGCCGTCTTGGAGCGGTCGGGAGGGCTTCTTGGGCCGTCTTGGAGCGTCGGGAAGCCGACGAGGCGAGGAGGCCGAAAACATGGAAAAACACAGTAGAAATCGACGATTTCTGTCGCTTGGGGCCCTCTTGGGAGGCCTCTTGGGAGGCCTCTTCGAGCGTCTTGGACGCCTCTTGGGCCGCCTGGGGCGAATCTCGGGCGTCTTGGGCCCATCTTTAAGCGTGCCAGGGCTCTCCGGGGCCGTCTTGGGGGCTTCTGGGGCCCTCTGGACATGTCCTGGAGCCTGCCTGGGCGGCCCGGGGCGGCCCGGGGCCAGCCCGGGGCGGTTTTGAGACATTGGAGCCTGCGCCCTTCTGGCACGCACGTGCTCCTGCAATGTAGTAGAGACTAGGGCTGACCCGTGGACTCCGTCCACGACATCTTTCTGGAATGGTTCTCGGAGGAACGGCGCAGATTGTACCGAAAATCTACAAACACGGCGGCGGCTCGGGCGGCGGCAGCGAGACCGCGCCTTCGTGTCCGAGCTCTTGCAGCGCTGGAGCAGCTTGGCCCAGCGCACTGCTCGTTCACCCCCCTCCTATTGAGGACAGTTTCGAAGTCTCTCGGGGATGTGCGTCGAAGTCGAAGCCCATCTGAGGCGTCTCAGGAGCGCTCGGGGAAGGGCTCGGGAGGCCATCGGGGAAAGCCACCGAAAGCGCCGGGGAGGCTCGCAAGGATCTACAGGGAGGGCCCAAGAGAGCTTCAAGAAAATTTGAAATCCAGTGAACTCTTAAGAGAAACCGCTGTTGGGTCGGCCATCACCTCCGGGCGCGCCTTGATGGTGCGATCCAGTCGCATCACCGCCAACGGGAGGGTTTGTTCGCCATGTCCCATTCTGTTCGCCCAGAGGGTCTGTGGAGGCCTTCGGGCGAACAGAACGGGACAGGGCAAGGAATGGGGAAGACATGTCCGAATCTCCTGGGCCCCCCAGATGCTCGTCCGAAGAATGCGGAGAGGTCCCAGGGTCATATCAATTGGCTGCTGTCCCAGGGGTCCGGTCTGCTTGGCCCGAAGAGTTTGCCAAGGCCCCTGGGGGAACAGAATGGCACAGCATATCGGGCAAAGGGGGGCGGTAGCTGGCCTGTCAGACCCGGCGTTCGTCTTCTGCCCAAGCGGCGCGGGGCCCACGGGCCCCAGGGTTGGCGTCCCGCTGGGATTCCTCTTGTTCGCCCACAGGGTTGGAGGAGGCCTCCAGGCGAACAGAATGGGGCAGGACAATGAATGTGGGAGACTTGTCGCAAGCTCCCAGCCCCCCCAAGTGTGCGCCCGAAGGGTGTGGGGCCGCGTTGGCTCCCTCAAAGGGCCGTCTTGGAGCCGTCTAGGCCCGTCTTGAGGGCGCCGTTTGCCCTGATGGGGCCGTCTTGGTTCGTCGTGGGCCCCTCATGGGCGCGTCCGTAGGCCGTCCTGGGCCCATCGGGGTCCTCGTGGGGCTGTCTTGGAGCCGTCTGGGACCGTGAGGAGGCCGCCTTGGAGTCGTCTTGGGCCCCTCCTGTGCGCCTCCTTGGGCCGTCCTGGGCCCAGCAGGGGCCGTGTTGGCACCCTCTTGGGGCTGTCTTGGAGCCGTCTTGAGCCGTCGCAGCGCGCCTTGGGTTGTGCTGGGTCCGTCTTGGCCCGTCTTGGGGCCTTCCTGGGCGGTTCCTCGGACCCTCCTGGGACTTTCTGGGGCCTCTTGGTGCATCGGACCGCCGAAACGGCGGGAAACGCAAAGGGTGTAACAGTAAACAATGGAAAATTAACGATTTTTGCCAGCTGGGACTCTCTTGCCATCTTGGCCCGTCTTGAGGCCCCGAACGGGCGCGTCCTTGGGCCGTCCTGGGCGCACCCTCCTGGGACCGTCTTGGAATCGTCTTGGGCCGTCTTGAGCGCGCCTTGGGCCGTCCTGGGCCGGTCTGGGGCCGTGTTGGCACCCTCGCGGCGAGGAAGCTCGGAGGCGGGCTCGAGGCCTCTTCGGATCCATTTTGGAACTGGGCCTCTGTAGGGGCCTCGTTTGGGCTCCTTGGGAGCCTCCTGGGGCCTCTTCGGAGGATTCTTGGCGGCCCCTTGGGGCCTCTTGGGGGCCTGTTTGGGCCTCCTGGCGCCCTCTTGGGGCGGAAGGCTCGGATTTTCGGTCCGTGGTCCCCCTCTTGGCCCCCTCTTGGGCCTGTCTTCGGGCCCTCGTGGGCCGTCTTGAGCGTCTCTTGGGTCGTCTTGGGGCCCTCTTGGGCTGTCTTGGGGCGCTCTTGGAAACCTCTTGGGTCGTTCTGGGGCGCTCTTGGAGGCCTCTTGGGCCGTCTTCGAGCGTCGGAAAGCGGAAAAGGCGAGAAGACCAAAATCCTTCCAAACCGTCGTAAAGCGGAGGATTTTGAGGCCCAAAACCGTCCAAAACCTCCTGAGGCGGTCCCCTCGTCCGCCCCCCTCGCTTCGAAGCAGTTTTTAAGCCCCGTGGCACCTCTTGGGGATCTCTTTTGGGCTCCTGGGGGCCTCTTGGGCCTCCACTGGATTCGCTGCCCTCGGTCGGCAATCGTCGATCCTACGACGACTCTCCCCAACAGAGAAACATCGAAGGCCCTCGGAGCGTCCAACATTGTTCTTTTGAGCCTTCGATATGCCGGTCGCCTCTCGTCCGCTCCCCCCCTCCTGGAAGCAATTATGAGGCCACTTAGGGCTTCGTGGGGGCCGTTTGGGGATCTCTTGGGGCGTTATTGCCTGCGATATGCCTGTCGCCTCTCGTCCGCTCCCCCGCTCCTGGAGGGAATTCTGAAGGCACTGAAGGCTTCGTGGGGGCCGTTTCGGAGCCTCTTGGGCATTCTTTTGGGCCTCCCGGGGGGGCTCTTAGGGCCCTCTCGGGCCGTCTTGGGTGCCTCTTGGGCCGTCTGGGGGCCGTCTGAGACCCGCCTCGGCGCCTCTTGAGCTGTCGTGGGCCGTCTTGGGCCGCTCCTGGGGTCGTCTTGGGTGCCTCTTGGGCCGTCTTGGGCGCCTCCTGGGCCGTCCTGGGGGGTCCTCTTCGGCCGTCTTGGAGCGGTCGGGGGGGCTTCTTGGGCCGTCTTGGAGCGTCGGGAAGCCGACGAGGCGAAGAGGTCGAAAACATCGAAAAACACAATAGAAATCGACGATTTCTGTCGCTCGGGGCCCTCTTGGGAGGCCTCTTGGGAGGCCTCTTCGGGCGTCTTGGACGCCTCTTGGGCCGCCTGGGGCGAATCTCGGGCGTCTTGGGCCCATCTTTAAGCGTGCCAGGGCTCTCCGGGGCCGTCTTGGGGGCTTCTGGGGGCCCTCTCGACATGTCCTGGGGCCTGCCTGGGCGGCCCCGGGCGGCCCCGGGCCAGCCCGGGTCATTTGAGCCTGCGCCCTTCTGGCACGCACTGGGCCCTGCAATGTAGTAGAGACTAGGGCTGACCCGTGGACTCCGTCCACGACATCTTTCTGGAATGGTTCTCGGAGGAACGGCGCAGATTGTACCAGAAATCTACAAACGCGGCGGCAACTCGGGCGGCGGCAGCGAGACCGCGCCTTCGTGTCCGAGCTCTTGCAGCGCTCCAGCAGCTTGGCCCTGGCGCACTGCTCGTTCACCCCCCTCCTATTGAGAGCAGTTTCGAAGTCTCTCGGGGATGTGCGTCGAAGTCGAAGCCCATCTGAGGCGTCTCAGAAGCGCCCGGGGAAGGGCTCGGGAGGCCGTCGGGGAAAGCCACCGAAAGCGCCAGGGAGGCTCGCAAGGATCTACAGGGAGGGCCCAAGAGAGCTTCAAGAGAATTGGAAATTCAATAAAATCTTAACAGAAACCGCTGTCGCTGTCGGGTCGGCCATCACCTCTGGGCACGCCTTGATGGGGCGTCCCGGGGCTCTCTGGGGCCGTCTTGGGCTGTCTTGGGGCGTCTTGGGACCGTCTGGGGGCCCTCTTGGCCCGTCTTGAGGCCCTCTTGCGGGCCTCGTCGGTGGTCTTGGAGCGGTCTTGGGACCTCTTGGGCCGTCTTGGAGCGCAGGGACGGCGAAAAGGGGAGAATGCGAAAAACATTGAAAAACACAATGGAAATCGACGATTTCTCCCGCTCGGGGCCCTGCTGGGAAGCCTCTTGGGAGGCCTCTTGGGGCATTTTGGCCGCCTCTGGGGCCGTCTTGGCCCAATCTTCGGCGTCTTGGGCCCATCTTGGGGCGTCCTGGAGCCCTCTGGGGCCGTCTTGGGGGCCTCTTGGGGCCCTCTTGGCGCGTCTTGGGCCTATCTTGGGGCGTCCCGGGGCCCTCTGGGGCCGTCTTGGGGGGCCGTCTTGGGCTGTCTTGGGGCGTCTTGGGACCGTCTGGGGGCCCTCTTGGCCCGTCTTGAGGCCCTCTTGCGGGCCTCGTCGGTGGTCTTGGAGCGGTCTTGGGGACCTCTTGGGCCGTCTTGGAGCGCAGGGACGGCGAAAAGGGGAGAATGCGAAAAACATGGAAAAACACAATGGAAATCGACGATTCTCCCGCTCGGGGCCCTGCTGGGGAGCCTCTTGGGAAGCCTCTTGGGGCATTTTGGCCGCCTCTGGGGCCGTCTTGGCCCAATCTCCGGCGTCTTAGGCCCATCTTGGGGCGTCCCGGAGCCCTCTGGGGCCGTCTTGGGGGCCTCTTGGGGCCCTCTTGGCGCGTCTTGGGCCCATCTTGGGGCGTCCCGGGGCCCTCTGGGGCTGTCTTGGGCTGTCTTGGGGCGTCTTGGGACCGTCTGGCTGCCCTCTTGGCCCGTCTTGAGGCCCTCTTGCGGGCTTCGTCGGTGGTCTTGGAGCGGTCTTGGGGACCTCTTGGGCCGTCTTGGAGCGCAGGGACGACGGCGAAAAGGGGAGAATGCGAAAAACATTGAAAAACACAATGGAAATCGACGATTTCTCCCGCTCGGGGCCCTGCTGGGAAGCCTCTTGGGAGGCCTCTTGGGGCATTTTGGCCGCCTCTGGGGCCGTCTCGGCCCGATCTTCGGCGTCTTGGGCCCATCTTGGGGCGTCCTGGAGCCCTCTGGGGCCGTCTTGGGGGCCTCTTGGGGCCCTCTTGGCGCGTCTTAGGCCTATCTTCGGGCGTCCCGGGGCCCTCTGGGGCCGTCTTGGGGGGCCGTCTTGGGCTGTCTTGGGGCGTCTTGGGACCGTCTGGGGGCCCTCTTGGCCCGTCTTGAGGCCCTCTTGCGGGCCTCGTCGGTGGTCTTGGAGCGGTCTTGGGGACCTCTTGGGCCGTCTTGGAGCGCAGGGACGGCGAAAAGGGGAGAATGCGAAAAACATCGAAAAACACAATGGAAATCGACGATTTCTCCCGCTCGGGGCCCTGCTGGGAAGCCTCTTGGGAGGCCTCTTGGGGCACTTTGGCCGCCTCTGGGGTCGTCTTGGCCCAATCTTCGGCGTCTTGGGCCCATCTTGGGGCGTCCCGGAGCCTTCTGGGGCCGTCTTGGGCCGCTCCTGGGGCCGTATTGGGTGCCTCTTGGGCCGTCTTGGGCGCCTCCTGGGCCGCCCTGGGGCCGTCCTGGGCCGTCTTGGGGCCGTCTTGGGGCCCTCTTGGCCCGTCTTGGGGCTCTCTTGGGGTCCTCTTCGGCCGTCTTGGAGCGGTCTGGGGGACGTCTTGGGCCGTCGTGGAGCGTCGGGAAGCCGAAAAGGCGAGGAGGCCGAAACCATCGAAAAACACAATGGAAATCGACGGTTTCTGCCGCTCGGGGCCCTCTTGGGACGCCTCTTGGGAGGCCTCTTGGGGCGTCTTGGAGGCCTCTGGAGCCGTCTTGGGCCAATCTCGAGAATCTTGGGCCCCTCGCTGGGCGTGCCGGGGCCCTCCGGGGCCGTCTTGGGGGCCTCTTGGGGCCCCCTTGGCGTGTCTTGGGGCCTCCCGGGGCGGCCCGGGGCCAGCCCGGGGCGATTATTGGTCACTTGATCCTGCGCCCTTCTGGTACGCACTGAGCCCTGCAATGTAGTAGAGACTAGAGCTGGCCCGTGGACTTCGTCCACGTGTTCTAGCGTGCATAATGTGCGCTTGTTGCTGGATGGTTGCGTACTGCGTGCTGGATTGTTTGACGATTGCTTGTGCTGTACGCTCCTTGCTGGCTCTAGCTTCGCCACCTGCAGCCGGCCTGGCGAACGTCCAACACGGCTCGTTGGGTCTGAGAGATGCCTCTCGCCTCTCGTCAGGCACCCCTCTCTTGGAGGCAATGGCGAAGGCACTTAGGGCCTCCTGGGCGCCGTTCGGGGGCCTATCAAGGCGATTTCGGCGTGGGGGGCTCTTGGGGCCCTCTTGGGCCGTCTTGGATGCCTCTTGGGCCGTCTGGTGGCCTCCTGGGGCCTCTTGCTTGACCCGTCTGGGGCCGTCTTGGGCCATCTTGGGCTGTTATTGGAGCTGTCTCGGATGCCTCCGGAGCTGTCTCGGGCGCTCCTTGGGCCGTCCTGGGTCCGTCTGAGGCCGTCTCGGCGCCGCCAAGGGCCCATTTTGGAGCTTCTCGGGGGAATCTCGGAGGCCTGCTGGGCGCCTTGGACTCCATGGATACGATCCAAGCGGAAATGCCATAATTCACAGCTTCCCTTAGGAATGGGAACGATTTTTCATCCTACGGGTCCTCTTCAGAATCCTCTTGGAAGCCCCACGGGGCGCCTGGGAAGCCTCTGGAGACGTCTTGGGGCCATTTGGGCGCCTCTTGGGCTGCCTTGGGGCCTTCTTGGGCCGTCTTGAGCCGCTCTCGGAACCCTCTGAATTTCCTCTTGGGCTGTCGTGCGGCCTCTTGGGCCGTCCTGGGCCCGGCTGGGGCCGCCCGGGGGCGCGCCAGGGCCAGCCAGAGACGGTTTTGAGCCACTGCGTCCTTCTGGCACGCGGCGCCCCCAGCGTTAGAGTATAGATGACGTTGGGCTCCAGCTTTCCTGCCCGCATCCCGTTCAACAGCGCAAGCGCTCGCTGCCACTGCTCGCCCTTCTCGCACGCGCTGATCCCAGCATTGTAGCTGACTAGTGCTGACCCGTGGCCTGACAGCCACGAAGTCCGTCCGAGGTGGCCCGTTGGGTCAGGGCGGAGAATTTGCCACAAGGCCTTCATGACAGCGTTGGGCCTGAACTTCGCCTCTGCTGTTGCTGCCTGCAGCTGCAGGGTGCTGGTGCCTGCGGCAGCTTACTGTCGCTGTGCTGCGGCTGCTTACTGCGGACTGCTGCTGTATGGTGCTGGTACTCAAGGCTGCAGGGTGCTACTTCTCGCTACTCCTGCTAGCTGACGCAACCTGCTGCTCGGGAGTGGATCGAGCCAGCGAGGAGCAAGGAGCGAAGACTCAGGGTCGAAGGGGGGGGAAGCGAAGAGCGACCATCGAGGAGCAGGGAGCGAGAAGGGAGAGGAGTTGACGGCCGAAGAGAGAGAGAGAGAGAGAGGCGCGAGGAGGGACGAGCGAGGGCCGCAAAGAGTGAGGAGAGGGGGAGGCCGGCGCCAGTAGCCAAGAGGGAGAAGCGAGGGGCCAGGAGGGAGGAGCAGGGAGGAGCGAGGAAGAGCAGGGAGGAGCGAGCGGAGCCACGGGACGCGCAAGGAAACGCACGTATGACAATGGGGGCGCGACCACAAGAGACCTTCCACAAGAAACCCAACCCTGAGACCCCAGGACGTCCATTGATTTTTTGGAGTGGGAACGTCACGCTTTCCATGGCAAAACCATCGAAGCCCAAGAAACCAAGGGCACCCTGGAGGCAAGCAGGGTGTTTCTTGGCGTGGGTTTCCACTGGATGTGCCTTGCCTCTATGTTTGTTGCAAGACGTTTCCCCGAGCGGTATGGCCCGAAGGCGCCGCCACCGAGCGTACACTACAAGCTGCCTTGACGCGCGCGTCGCCCCTGCGTGGGCCACGCACATAGTGTCAGTACGTTTGGGTGGCGCCAGAGCCCGGCGAGGGCGGCGGGGAGCGAGGAGAGGGCGGCGAGGAGCGAGGAGCCACAGGGCGAGGAGCCACAGGGCGAGGCCTGAGCAACGGCCAGCACACGAGTGCAATTGCCTCGGCGTGCCCGTTGCCGAACACCTTTGACGCCTCTCGGGCCGCTCATCGGGCAACCTTGGGGCTTTTCCCTGGGGCATCGTGTTTGGAAGCTGCTTTGGCTTGGGAAGCAGGAGGGCCTCGGCAAGCTCCTGAAGCATGAACTGCGGCACCCCGCAGCCAGCTTAGTGCATCTTGGGGACACCGCCCTCTTGGGCCGCCTTGGGGCCGCCGTAAGGGCCCTGGGCCATCTCGGGGCCTCCTGAGCCCCCAGACGAACCGCGTCACGGGGAAGCCGATTGGACCCTTCTGGCACACACACATACATGATGCCTGGTAGTGTAGTACAGATGACGTCGGGCTCCACCTTCGCCTCCCGCAGCTTGCTCAGCAGCGCCAGAGCCCGCTGCCACTGCTCGCCTGTCTCGCACGCGCTGATTCCAGCGTTGTAGCTGATGACGTTAGGCTCCAGCTCCGATTCCCGCATCTCGCTGAGCAGCGCCAGTGCCCGCTGCCACTGCTTGCCCTGCTTGCACGCGCTGACTCCAGCGTTGTAGCTGATGACGTTGGGCTCCACCTTCGCCGCCAACATCTCGCTGAGCAGCGCCAGCGCCCGCTGCCACTGTTTACCCTTCTCGCACGCGCTGACCCCAGCGCTGTAGCTGACTAGGGCTGACCCGTGGACTCCGTCCACGACATCTTTCTGGAATGGTTCTCGGAGGAACGGCGCAGATTGTACCGAAAATCTACAAACACGGCGGCGGCTCGGGCGGCGGCAGCGAGACCGCGCCTTCGTGTCCGAGCTCTTGCAGCGCTCCAGCAGCTTGGCCCAGCGCACTGCTCGTTCACCCCCCTCCTATTGAGGACAGTTTCGAAGTCTCTCGGGGATGTGCGTCGAAGTCGAAGCCCATCTGAGGCGTCTCAGGAGCGCTCGGGGAAGGGCTCGGGAGGCCATCGGGGAAAGCCACCGAAAGCGCCGGGGAGGCTCGCAAGGATCTACAGGGAGGGCCCAAGAGAGCTTCAAGAAAATTTGAAATTCTGTAAAATCTTTAGAGAAACCGCTGTTGGGTCGGCCATCACCTCCGGGCGCGCCTTGATGGTGCGATCCAGTCGCATCACCGCCAACGGGAAGGTTTGTTCGCCATGTCCCATTCTGTTCGCCCAGAGTGTCTGTGGAGGCCTTCGGGCGAACAGAACGGGACAGGGCAAGGAATGGGAAGACTTGTCCGAATCTCCTGGGCCCCCCAGGTGCTCGTCCGAAGAATGCGGAGAGGTCCCAGGGTCATATCAATTGGCTGCTGTCCCAGGGGTCCGGTCTGCTTGGCCCGAAGAGTTTGCCAAGGCCCCTGGGGGAACATAATGGCACAGCATATCGGGCAAAGGGGGGCGGTAGCTGGCCTGTCAGACCCGGCGTTCGTCTTCTGCCCAAGCGGCGCGGGGCCCACGGGCCCCAGGGTTGGCGTCCCGCTGGGTTTCCTCTTGTTCGCCCACAGGGTTGGAGGAGGCCTCCAGGCGAACAGAATGGGGCAGGACAATGAATGTGGGAGACTTGTCGCAAGCTCCCAGCCCCCCCAAGTGTGCGCCCGAAGGGTGTGGGGCCGCGTTGGCTCCCTCAAAGGGCCGTCTTGGAGCCGTCCAGGCCCGTCTTGAGGGCGCCGTTTGCCGTGATGGGGCCGTCTTGGTTCGTCGTGGGCCCCTCATGGGCGCGTCCGTAGGCCGTCCTGGGCCCATCGGGGTCCTCGTGGGGCTGTCTTGGAGCCGTCTGGGACCGTGAGGGGCCGCCTTGGAGTCGTCTTGGGCCCCTCCTGTGCGCCTCCTTGGGCCGTCCTGGGCCCAGCAGGGGCCGTGTTGGCACCCTCTTGGGGCTGTCTTGGAGCCGTCTTGAGCCGTCGCAGCGCGCCTTGGGTTGTGCTGGGTCCGTCTTGGCCCGTCTTGGGGCCTTCCTGGGCGTTTCCTCGGACCCTCCTGGGACTTTCTGGGGCCTCTTGGTGCATCGGACCGCCGAAACGGCGGGAAACGCAAAGGGTGTAACAGTAAACAATGGAAAATTAACGATTTTTGCCAGCTGGGGCTCTCTTGCCATCTTGGCCTGTCTTGAGGCCCCGACCGGGCGCGTCCTTGGGCCGTCCTGGGCGCAGCCTCCTGGGACCATCTTGGAATCGTCTTGGGCCGTCTTGAGCGCGCCTTGGGCCGTCCTGCGGCCGTCTGGGGCCGTGTTGGCACCCTCGCGGCGAGGAAGCTCGGAGGCGGGCTCGAGGCCTCTTTGGGGCAATTTTGGAAGCTGTTGGGGCCCTGTTGGGGCCTCGTTTGGGCTCCTTGGGAGCCTCCTGGGGCCTCTTCGGGGGATTCTTGGCGGCCCCTTGGGGCCTCTTGGGGGCCTGTTTGGGCCTCCTGGCGCCCTCTTGGGGCGGAAGGCTCGGATTTTCGGTCCGTGGTCCCCCTCTTGGCCCCCTCTTGGGCCTGTCTTCGGGCCCTCGTGGGCCGTCTTGAGCGTCTCTTGGGTCGTCTTGGGGCCCTCTTGGGCTGTCTTGGGGCGCTCTTGGAAACCTCTTGGGCCGTTCTGGGGCGCTCTTGGAGGCCTCTTGGGCCGTCTTCGAGCGTCGGAAAGCGGAAAAGGCGAGAAGGCCAAAATCCTTCCAAAACCGTCGTAAAGCGGATGATTTTGAGGCCCAAAACCGTCCAAAACCTCCTGAGGCGGTCCCCTCGTCCGCCCCCCTCGCTTCGAAGCAGTTTTTAAGCCCCGTGGCACCTCTTGGGGACCTCTTTTGGGCTCCTGGGGGCCTCTTGGGCCTCTCTGGGCTCGTCTATCGCGCCCCTTGGGCTGTCTTGGGGCCCCCTAGGGCCTTCTTGGGCGGTCCTCGGGCCGTCTTGGAGCCATCTTGGGCCGCTCTTCGGGCCATCTTGGGGTCCCGTTGGCCTGTCTTGGGCGCCTCTGGGGCCGTCCTGGGGCCGCCTTGGACCGTCTTGGGGCCCTCTTGGACCGTTTTGGGGTCCTCTTGGGGACCTCTTCGACCGTTTTGGAGCGGTCTTGGATGCCTCTGCGTGGGGTTCGGAGCGCCGGGAAGCCGAAAAAGCGAGGAAGCAAAAAACCTCGGGAAAACCACAGAAAATCAACGATTTGGGCCTCTCGGGGCTCTCTTGGGACGTCTCTTGGGAGGCCTATTGGGCCGTCTTGGGGAGCTCTTGGGCCGTCTTGGGCCAATGTTGGGCGTCTTGGCCGGATCATTGCGCGTCTCGGGGCCCTCTTGGGCCGCCTTCTGGGCATCTTGAGCGGCTCGGAGCCGTCTTTGGGACGTCGGGGCGGCCTCCAGAGCGTCTCGGAGCCGTTTCTACTCATTTGGCTGGATTTCCTTCCGGCACGCGGTTCCTCCGGCCATATATTATAGACTAGGTCTGACCCGCGGCCTTCCGGCCGCGGAATCTGCCCGCCATGGCGTGGACGTGGAAGTGGAGCGTCTCTGGGGCCTCGCGGGTAAGGGGAGGTTGGAGGGGACGACGTGGATGGAGGAGGTGGCCGCTGGAGGTGGAGGTGGCCGAGGAGGGATACAGGCAAGCGAGTGATAACTTTATCTGGTAGTGTGGTGGCAATGGGGCCAGTGGGCGCGGTCTAGGAGGCCCACAAAAGGGCGGCGAGACGGCCCAAAAGGTCTCCAGGACGGGCCAAGAGACTCTGAAGGCCCCACGAACTCCCTAAGACGGGCCCCAGTACGAGGACACGAATCGACCTTTCGAGCGCACCGCCCCAAGACGTCCCCAACTGGCGCAGAGATGGCTCCCAGAGGGTCCAAGAAGCCCCCAAGACGACGCTGAAGTTCGACGCTCCCCAGGAGAGAAGCATCCAAGGCCTCTTGGGGGCCGTTTGGGGGCCCTCTTTTCGTCCTCCTGGGAGTCTCTCGGGGCCCTCTTGGGCAGTCTGGAGTGCCTCTTGGGCCGTCTTGGGGCGATTTGGAGCCGACTTGGGCGCCTCTCGGACCATCTTGGGGCCGTCTTGGGGCCATCTTGGGCCGAGCTTGGGCGGTCTTAGGGGCTGTCTTGGGTGTTTCCGGGGCCGTCCCGGGCGCCTCTGGAGCCGTCCCGGACGGCCCACAGACCGTCTTGGAGACTGTGCAGACGGAAAGGCTTGGAGACGGGGCGGTAGGAGCCTCTACAGCCGTTTTGGTGTCGCCCTGGGGCCGTTTTGGGCGCCTCTTGGGCTCTCTTGACGCCCTCTCGGGCCGGTTTTCGTGCGTCTTGGGGGCCTCTTGGGCCGTCTTGGGGCGGTCGTGGGGGCCTGGAACCAGCTTCTGCGCCGTATTCCCGACAAGCAGCGCATGCTAAAGTGAGCGGTTTTTCTTCGGAAAATGTTCGCCTCTGGGGGCCATCCTTGGGCGCCTCTTGGGCGTCTCTGGGGCCGTCGTGGAGGCCTCCTGGGCCGTCTTGGGTTTGTTTTCGGCGGTCTTGGGCTCTCTTGGAGCGCTCTTGGGCCGTCTTGGGGTTGTGTGGGGGGGGCCGTCTTGGGCGCCTCCTGGGAGCCTCTTGGGGCCGCCTGGGGGCCGTGTTGGGCGCCTCTTGGGTCTCTTGACGCTCTCTCGGGCCGGTTTTCGTGCCTCTGGGGGGCCTCTTGGGCCGTCTTGGGGCGGTCGTGGGGACCTGTTGTCCCATCTTGTGCGCCAGATTCCCGACAAGCAGTGCGTGCTAAAAATTTGAAGTTCTTCGTTGGAAAACAATGATTCGGGCCTGTGGGGGCCATCCTGGGACGCCTCTGGAGCGTCTCTGGGGCCGTCGTGGAGGCCTCCTGGGCCTTGTCGGGGCCGTTTTCGGCGGTCTGGAGCTCTCTTGGAGCGCTCTTGGGCCGTTTTGGGGGTGTCTGGGGCCGTCCTGGGCGCCTCTGGGGCCGCGTGAGCGCCTCTGGGGCGTCCCAGGAGCCTTTGTGGGGCATTTTCACTCCATCAAGACAAGGGCCCTTCCCGCACGCACGGGCCCCTGCATTGTTGAGAAGACAGGGCTGACCTGGGGATTCCATTAACCGACTTACTCGGTAATCGTTTATGGATGGCCTGCCGGGGACGCCCGAAGTGTAAGAATTTTAAAAAGCGGAGGGGTGAGCTAGCTTAAACTTTGCAGTGGACGGAAGGCGCGCACCGCTTTCCCAAACTCTCGGGATTTGCAGTTTTTACGGAAGATCCCTCTGTGGATGCGCCGATACGCGGCGGCCCCCAGGGCTCGATGATTTGTCGTTTTACTTACATGCCATATGTGGATGGGCACGATTCCGGCCAGAGGCGCGAATGTTACACAAAGACACACTGTAGATGCCAGGAGAAGCCAGACCGGGTCGGGCCCGCAGCCGGGGCCGGAGCTGTCGGGGCCAGGGCCGGAGCCGGAGCTGGGGCCGGGGCGACCGCTGGAGCCGGGGCCGAAGGAGAAAACGGGCGATCGAGAGAGGGAGGAAGGGAGGGAAAGAGAGAGAGAGAGAGAGAAAGAGAGAAAGAGAGAGAAAGAAAGAAAAGAAAGAGAGAAAAAGAGAGAAAGAGAGAGAGAGAGAGATAAAAGAGAGAGAGAGAAGGAAAAAAAAAGGGGCATGGAGGGGGGGCGGGGAGAAAGAGAAAGAGG